ATTTGTAAGGATTTTGGTGTAAGGTACAAAATTAAAGAACATGTCTGAGTGAAGGCATCAGAAGTTAATTCTCATAGAATGACGCTCAGTAGAGCTCATACCTCCGCCAATGCCCAACAGTCTCCTTATAAACCACATTTAAAATCACTAGATCACCCTTAGTCGCTGAAACCTGTCAGATTTTTTAACCAAGTTCCATCCTGTGCATCCCTCCACAAAGTTCCATAGTAATGTATTCTGTAGATTTTGTGTAATTCTGCTTTGTGCAGGTAACAACATTTATGAGCAATGTATAAATCAAAAATAATTAAATGGATGTTTATAATGCTACGTTGTGAAAGGTGTCCCTGGAGGGGCAGTTTATTGAATGATGGGAGACAATAAACTGCTTTTTATGTGCGCTGAATCTCAAAATAATTGTTTATTCATTGAAAGTAGAACAAACATTTATTTTGGCCCAACGCTCACACTTTTGTTTTGGCTAACACCTCAAGTTGAAGCAGCAGTCCTTTTCAGTGTGAGTGAGTGGTTCAGCTATACAAACCTCATTAACACTCCAGTGTTGGAGGTCTAAACAGCAGCCAGAACTCTCTTTGAAAACGGTGTTAGATACAGTTTGCTGCAGCAATATATAATTTTACCATTTCACAGTTTTAGTGGCTCACACATAGGTGTGAGCCGCAGTTAAAAAACAACCCAAACTATGCAGAGCAGAAGGAAGGGAGTCAGTGGGTGAGATGCTTCTGCAGATCTGGGTTGAATTATAGATGCTTCAGAAATGTTTTCAGAAAAGATTTTGAGATGTAGCACAAATATTGAGCAACTGAAATATGCTGTGCTCAAGCTAAACCCCCATCATTCTTTAGTTTCATCTTTAATTAAATACTTGTACATTATTCCGTAATTAAGCAAAATGTACAGTTTCCATTCACAGTTATATTCAATATTCATAGTTTGCAGAAAATACTAAGATGCCAAGATACTTTGTTTCAGTTCCGTTGTGCTGATAATGCACAAAAGCATTTTGGTACATTTGTGGATCCAGATGTGGGTGCGGGTGCATATATGATCCCTCCATCTGTACATTATTTTCTCTCTGTGTTGTTTCAGATGTAATAAAACACAAGCACATCTCGTCTGATGACAGCGCTATTTCTCTGAAATTTCACGACTTCTCTCTCGTGTCTGTAGTTCAGCACTTTCAACACTTTGACCTACAAAGACAGACAAACTGCGCCAGAGGAGACGGTGGGATAAAGCAGCTGGAATAGAGACAGACACTGTTCAGTCGTTCTGGTGACTCATTCCTGCAGGAGGATAAGTAGAGAGAGAGAGATGAACAGCAGTTCTCTGGTCTGGGAGGGAGGTGTGTAAGTACAGGGTAGCAGAGAGACGCCAGGAGAGGAGGAAGATTTGGAGGGTGTGTGAGTGGAGGGGTGGGGGTGTGCTGCTGTATTCAACTGATGGTGACTCACTCATGCTCGCTCACAGGCCAAACACATTTGCAGAGACGTGCATGCACATACACACATTGCACGGGAGGTCGCAGGACCCCCAGTGGCCTATACACTGTTAGCGCCACATGTGCACACTCTGCGGTTTCCCAGTCTCATCATGTTAATCCCACAGTCATTTGGCTCTTTATTTGCTGTTATTTTTAACTGGCTCCTTCTGCTGAATCATTGTGTTTATGAGTCACACCCATGCATCCTCCTGGTCCAAAACTGCACAAGCAGCAACCCATTTCTTCAACTTTGTTCTTCTGGCTCTTTCTCACTCCCTGACTTTTCTTCATCTCAGACAAAGGGACCTTGTATTTTTTCTGCGTGTGCACGAGTGTGTGTCTGCACGTGTTCTTGCTTGCATATATTTGTGCGTGTGAGTGGGCCTAACCTCAAGCTCTGTTTGGAGACAGTCCTGACTGCCCGTCTCTCTCTCTCTCTCTCACTCTCTCTTTCTGTTTGTCTGCCTGCCAGATCCGCCTATGTACTATATGTACTATATGTACCACACACACACAGTATGAATTTCTCAATCCCCTGAAGGACGATACAAAAGTAGAAGGAATAGTGAAAAGCTGTTCCTCCCCTTTCTCTAATCCCCTTCTTCTCTACTGACCTACATCCTGGCCAGCTCAGGGTGCTAAAATACACTATCGTAGAAAAGACTAAAAGGGAGAGATCGGTAAGAGACAGAAAGGGAGGACACAGTGAGCGAGGACACAGTAAGGGAGGATATGGAAAGGAAGGAAAAGAGGAAGAGAAAGATACATAACACTGGATAGCAGCAGGTATTGACTTTTGACATCTTTTAAAGATTAGAAAGTATGGCTCCTTCTCCCTACGTCCTGCACATGCATGCACACCTACACACTCATGCACAAATACACACAGACTCACACACTGGCCATGCAGCTTGCCAAACATCTGGAGCAAAGTTAGAAAACGCTGAATGAAAGAAGTTTTAATAACACTGGATTGGTTGTGAGACCGCAGCCATCGGCCAATCAAAACAAGCCGGGTTGGGTTATCTGTCTCTAAACGCTTATCGAACGAGCGGCTTTTTTGCCAGTCATCTTTCATAGCTGGAGCTGCAGGACCACACTCTGCGTGTGTGTGTTTCACTATGCAGGTATGCATATGTCTGTGTGTGTGTATGAGTGTCTGCTTTGATTCACTGTGGTTTTCTGTTGTGCTCTGTGCGACTCTGTTCAGTCCCACCACACATCTCTGCACCATATGCTTAAAGGTCAAGAAAATATTAAGGGCCTCAAAAGGATGGCATTAAATACTACCATGATATATAAAACCACGGCTTCCATTTTATTATTCTTCTCAGGGCATGTGTTTGCTTTGGCAGTGAAGGTGTGTTTTTCATCCTCCTCCTCTCTTGCAGAATAGTTAGCACTTGATATCATTTGGAGGTAAAATACACCAAGTGGTATAGAGAGCAAAGACTAACAACTGTGCAAGTTTTGGTGTTTGTAGACTCTGTATATTGTATGTAGTATCAGAAGTGCATTGTTATAAAAATCAGGTTCTAATGATGAGTTTTCCAAGAGACAAAACTCCTCTCTTCATGCCTCACACGCTTCATTTATCCCCTCTGTTTCCCCCCTACTGTCTCTTTCTAGTTGTGTAAGAGTCTAGACAAGTCGGATCAGGGGTCAGCTCTGTAAATACATAGCTCTTCCCATGAGCTATTGCCTGTAGGGTGGGATTTGTAATTGGACTCAATTTCCCAGGGCCTCCCTCTCCATGAAGCTGCTTCAGCACAAGTATGCACACACACGGAGAGAAGCCTCCCGTGTGTCTTAGAGCTACACACTGCTCAGATGCATAAAGCACACAGGTTGGTGAGCCTGTTCACACATACAATATTTATGTTTTAAAACATCATATCTCTTTCTCTATCAGTGAGATACCTTGTCTCAGAATTATCCTTGGCGTGGATCAAGTTCCATAAACACTGGATCCTAGAGATTTCTCAGTGCAACTCGGTAGTGTCTGTTGTTAGATTCTTCCAGCCTGGTAAATTTCTTTGTCTTATCAAACTCCACACCCCAGGTTGTCTGTTAAAATGTTGTTTCAAGCTCAACCTGAGACCCTCTTAAACTTCAGAAAGCTTCTCAAGAGCTACAAAGGAAAATATACAATTAATGTCACTACCCACATACAAAGACACGGATCTCCCCAAGTGGCCTCTTCACAAGGAACATAACTTATACAGTGTTTAACTGAGAATGCACTACAACTAGCAATGGTGAAAAAGTCTGTTAATTAATCTGATAATTTAAGAAATCTCTTTTTGTCTGTGTGTTGCTCACATACTGTATCTAGAGAACAATTAATCTTAATCACCTTAACACTTTGTTAAGGGCCCAAGACACAAGAGAAGTTCAACATGAATAAACTTTGAATAAACAGACGACCAGTGCTGTAAAGCAGCTGTGTCTGGGACTCACGAATGTGGTGTTGATGACAACAGGGCGTTCATGAAAATAGTTCATGAAAACAGCAACTAAATCAGATTTTCCAGTTCGAGGTTCTGTGTAATGAGTCAATCTTCACTGAACTTTGAACAAACAGGTGAACAGCTCTTTGTGCTGCAGTGGTGGTGCAGCTCAGGGTTCTATGTGGACTGAGTCCCACAGCCGGTCTTTACTTGCCATGGCTCAATTACTGCAGGTCACATTTCAAAAAGAAAACTGCAACCAGCATTTCCACAATTACACAGCCCAATCCAAACAGACATTTTTACAACGAGCACTGCACTAGTCAGTTCAATGAACAGAAAACAATCCCAACCCTCATGATTTTAGATATTAATCAAGGAAAACAGATATTCACTAGTCCTAGTTTCTCAGATGACTTAGTTCCTTTCTGTGGTTGTGTCGTAAGGTTATTGTATTGTTTGTAAAAAAAAAAAAAAAACAGATTAATTACATGGAAATATTATGAGATAAATTATGGTACAGTGTGTAGAATGTTATAGTGTAGAAATTGCATATTGCAGCTGAACACCCCTCACCTCACCCTCTCCTTCCAAACATGAGAAAGAACCTGTGGTAGAAAACTCAAAAGGTGTTTAGTTTGTCCAGTCTGGACTAATGTAAAAAACATGGCTCCTCTGTAGAGAGGGTCCCCTCGATGTAAATATAGAGTATTTAAATATAAAGAGTCTTTTCTGGGGTAAAGAAAACTACAATTCATACAATTTAGATGAAACAAAATAGTGAAGACATCATGAGGATTATTCTATATTAAATTTTTGCCAATAGATCCCTTTCACCTAAATCTTACACACGTCACTAATAATAATGACAAACATAACAGGAAGAAAATAGGAACAACATACTGCAATGAAAGACAATAAATATTATGTTAGTGGTGGAGGATATTTAGTTTCGTTCAGGTTCAATAAGAGGAACACCCAACGTCAACGCCACTGATCTGAACTGAAGTGAAACCTGTAGTAAATGAATGTCATTTTGTCCCCAGCTCAACCAGCAGCCAGATCCACGCCCATCCAGCCATGTCGGACGCAGCCCGGCAGCCATCTACGAAACGGGACCAAGCAGCACTCACACGCCCACCCCCCTCACACGCACTGTCCGCATCACACGCCGCACACGCACGGACTCCAGTCCAACGGGGTCAGGAGCCATCATGAGCATCCTAAGCTGGGCTCACTCCCAAGAGGCGGCTCATCCACCTCCTCCTCCTCTTCAGCGGGACCCAAACACACCAAGAAATTGCAGTCCAACCCATCCATCACCTCCCAGAGCAGCAGGAGGAGCAAGAGCAGCTCCAAGAGCAACAGCTCCCAGATTCCCACAGAGGCACAGGATGGTGAGATGGAAGGATGAATAGCATTTTTCTAATTGTTGAATAAGAATAGAAGATCTAATCTCTCCTGGCACATTTTCTCTGACACTAAAATATGGCTGGGTGATATGGAAAATGTTCATATCACAATATATAAAATTGCCACAATAACTGTCACATTATTATTTATTTTAAGTTAAAAGACAATGACAATGTTAATAAATGGAATTGCAGGCTTGAAATTATTTTCATTTCCTAACATTCCTTCAGTCAGTCATAATGATCAGCCCTGTGTTGTCTTTGTGTCAACATTTGTGTCTTTACAAGTAAGCAGGATAGAAATAGCACACTTGAATTCAATGTCAGTGTCAAATGAAGGAAACTATTAAATGGTGAAAAAATATTTTCAGTTATTATAAAACCACTACAAAAACAAAGAGGGAAAAGGTTTTGTGGTTAAGCAGCGAGTTAAAATTAAATGCAAATACATCAGTGTGCTAATGTCTGTCCTTAGTCTTTGGCCTGACACTGAAGAAAAATGTTTTCTTGTTTTAATTTTTCAACTAGAGTTGCACTCCGTAGAGTTTTTACCTCTATACCCCAAATGAAACCACATTTAAATTCACTAGATCCAGATTTTTATGGATCTGCACCAAATGGCTCATAAGTATCAGTCCCTTAAACATGTCTGATTTCTTTCACCAAGATCCATGAATTATTCCCTGAGAAATCAGTTGAAAACACCCAATCCCACAATGTTACAGAAAGTGAAAACATTTTCCCAAATCCGACCCTGATCTGTATCTAGACCAAAACGTAATGGGATCTTCCTTGGGTTTTGTCTCACCCCCCCACAAAGTTTCATAGACATGGGTCGAGTTGTTTTTGCGTAATCCTGCTAACTAACAAACGCAGATTAAAACATAACCTCCCTGTCAGAGGTTATCTTGTCCCATGATTCTGACCAATCACACTGACTGTTATATTCTGTGATTTTTTACATTTTGCTCAGTTATATGTTTCCTCCCCCTCCAGACTGCTGTGTTCACTGCATCCTGGCCTGCCTCTTCTGTGAGTTCCTAACTCTGTGCAACATCGTGCTGGACTGTGCCACCTGCGGCTCCTGTGCTGGTGACGACGCGTGTTTCTGCTGTTGCTGCGCGTCAGAGGAGTGTGGCGACTGCGACCTGCCCTGTGACATGGACTGTGGCATTATTGATGCCTGCTGTGAGTCTGCAGACTGCCTGGAGATCTGTATGGAGTGCTGCAGCCTTTGCTTCTCCTCCTGAGGACCCAGCCGCCAGCACAGGGGGCGAAGTAGATTCACTCCCACAAGCCCAGAGACAGTTTCGACCTGCGTCTTACCAATGCTGAGAAGCTTTACACCCACCCGCGTCATTGTTGCCTGGGATCTGTGGCTCACACTATTGGCTGGCCTAGTTGGCTCCACAATACATCCAATACTTCTTACAGGGGTTACCAAGTAAAATGCTGACAGCAGTCAATGGCGAACTCTTCCTTCCTTTATTGATCAAACGATGGGACAGTAGCTTCCCCCGCTTTGTCTTTTGTGGTTCGTCCATTTCTGCACAGCTGGGTGTATGTGCAGAGTGAGTTCCAGCTGTGGTCCATGTGAGGATGCCAGGCTGTGCAGCCTCTGGACCCTCACTGAACAAGCTATTATTACATTGGAGCCCCTTGTGCCATCTGAATGACTGGAGTTCTCTAAGCATGAAAAATGACCTCTAAATGCAAATGAGAAAATGGCTCCATTTAACTGGATTTTAATGTTTCTATAGATAAGAGCAGCAGCGTAATGGGAAAATGGACGCTCAGATCTCAGTAGTAATGCAGTGTGTCCCCCTGTCCTTGGCAAGGTTAAAGTCCCTCTCTTCGATTGCTTACAGTGGACTCTGCACCACACAGACTAAGTGGCAGACGTGGGATACGCCGCTGTTTTCATCATTGTTGCAATGTACAAAATAGAGAAAACATTAACGGTGGCTTGTGGCAATATTACAGACAGATCTTCTTGTTAATATGCATCTCACTTAAAGGACTTTTTTAGAGAAGAATCATGAGAGTGTCATGCATCAGCCTGGAGATGGGTCTCATCATTGTTGGTTGATAGCATCATATTTATCTGCTCTAACATGTGAAGGGAGAGAGTTCTTAATCAAAAGTTTCTCCTCGTTTAATGTCTCACATCTTGTTTACTTCTACATTTTTATTCTCAGAGGCTAAAACGTGAATTCCTCCTCGTCTGATTGGTCAGAACTGGAAAAGGACTGGAATTGGAAGGCATCATCTCCTTTTTTTTTAATGCATTTGATTTTCCTTTGTCATTCTTGCTATGTGAACAAATGGCCTTGGCTTAGCTGAAAGCCTGAATTCGATTCCTCCGCCTTTACCAAATCTTTATTAATCCTTGTTTTGTAGATTTTAGTTAAGATATTTGCATTTCTCCTCTAATGTGAAAATCACATTTCTGTGTTATCGGGTTTTGCCGGGCTCTCTGGAAAGCAGACGTTGCTCAACATCTAATTTAATTCGTAGAGTAACAATCTCACAGCATTATGCTAAGTTAGATCCATATGCTCGTCGTATGAATGGTACACTTTTGATAACAGGCCCGCACTCTCATATGCTCAGACACATTCCTTCTCCAACCCAATACCTCTTGAGATGTCACCTAGATCTGTTGTGCATTTTAAAATGACTTGATACAAATCTCTCTCCTCTCTGATCAAATACTGATTGTGCAATCTTTTTTTTTGCTTGGAAATACCAAAGAGTTTTCCTCTTACTGGACCTTAGATTCTAGACTTATAATTACTTGTACATAGAAGGGTTTTTTTCTGTGCTAGTATGGCTGCGGTTGATTAAACCCTATTTTAAGGGCTGAAATCTAACACTGTTGTTGATAATACACTATGGCTGTAATTAACCTGATAACACAGAAGCAGAATATGCAAGTTTGGGGAATTCAGCGAAGGCATTGAGAAGATAATATGACTCCTTGTGTCTGTTTGTATCAGATTGGATGTGTTTCATATTTTGGGACATGTTGAACTCAACTGAGGTAAAATCCTGGAAAGCCCTGGAAAACAATGCAATACTTTACCAAATAGAGAGAAGTTTTATGAAGGGAGAACTGGATTATATACTGTTATGTATAGAAAATATGACAATGTCACTTTGTTTGAGATACAAGATTTTCAAAGATAATCTGATAACGATGCTTCATGGGTCACGTCTTCTGTCACCAGACCAACCTTGTAAAATAGGACTGTATTGTGATAAGGATCTGGGAAAAGTTAATCCATTTGAGTTGGAAACCAAAATAAAAATGGCTTCCTAAACAACAGTAGATAGTCTCCACTGTCAATCATGACATTTCTCTCCATGTTTCTAATACCATATGAAAATGATATAAACATTTAGCATTGACTAATAATAAACATTAACATACATCAGTGTGTTAAGAACTAGGCCTAAATTGACGGAAACCATCTTTGGAAAAAATGTTGTTTGGCCCATGTCCTTTCTTTTAACATGGAGGGGGCAGGGTTTATGACATGCCAGCCACCAGGGGGCAATCAAGATGTTTTGGCTTCATTTTTGGAAAGCTGTCATGTCATCCATCCTTATACACAGTCAATGGTTCAAACTGTAGCTAAAGAGACCACAAGCTAATGATAGCATAACTTGCTATCGTGCAAGTTAGTTGGTTAAATAAGCAGGAAGATATAAATACAGATTATGATAATGATTCCCACTGGCTCATTTTTACTTCCAAAACAATAGCTTCACTGTTTTTAACCCAACTCGATTGACATGTTGTTTCCTATCATTTATGACTGTGCATAACCACAACCTCGCTCTAGAGCTCAAGTTTCAGTCTGCTGCAGCTTCTCACTGGACTCAAACGCAGTTCAAAGGCGTAATTTTGAGACCTTCAGAAATCCACTTTTCATAAATAGGAAGCTCAAAGACAGGATTATCTGAGGTCTTAAATCTTGGCTTCTGTAATTCTGAATTGATTTTATTAAGATCAAATTACTGCTGTAGCTAGAAAAATGTTGTCAAAAAACCCTACCTGTAATGGAAAACGTGGCTTTGCAACTCTCTTTTTATCAGTAGATCTTTTAAACGTGTCCAGTGAGGTTTTTATTTTCCAAAAGTAGCTAGTACCATTTTCTTGAAGAGGTAAAGAATCTTTGAGACTGTGAAGTGCAGTGAGAATTTGCAGCAGACTGGCAAGTGTTGATTCTAAAGATCAGTTGTGCCATGCAACGTTATATGAAACAGCATTTTTTAATAAGGTCTGATTTGAAAAACAGTGAACCCCTCATTTGAGTTTAATATAATGATGCTGGGAATTTTTTTTTACAATTTAGCCATTAAATATTTCTTTATATTTGCACTGAGAAGAGAAAACCATGGCAGTCAGGAGGTATAGAGAAATACACTTTGGTTGGTCTGGGGATGGACAACGCCTTCCCCAGATGAACACTGGTCTTGCACTTAAATCATTCTCTGTGTGATGTGGAGATTTCAATTTGATGTTGTTTGTACCAGACAGGTCATCATCTCATTTCCAGATATGTCCCTTGTATTCAGTCACGCTATATGCATAAAACTGGAAAAGAAAACACAGGTTTACTTTCAGTGATTTCCATTCTAAGTATTATCAGTATTTTTCTTAGAATTACCTTGACCACAGAAGTTTCTAACCATTGAGGTTTTTTTTAATCTTACTACCAGATGAAACTTGGATATTGATTTTAAAGGGCTGGCCACCTCTGCCAGTAATCTGAAAGTTATAGCCCAGCTGAATTGTTACTAGACTGTAGTCCACTATAATGTCATTTTGTTTACACTACCCCAATGTAATGTTAATTTGAATTGCAGCCCTGGAAGTCACATTAAAATCTCTTTGTTTAATACTGAATAAACAATGTGAACTCCAGGCTACATGGATCATCTTTCTTTATTTTGACACAGGCACCAAGCTTATTACATTATAGCCTAATTACATTATGGTTACATAAATGCTCCTGTTGTCTAGTGTTTAACAAAAGTTATATATGCAGCAGTCCAGTAAAATTAATCTAATAACAACAAAAATTGCTTATTCATCACCTGGACAGTTTAGAGTTACAAAAATTCTAAGGTGTAGTTTAAATATATTTGACCTCTCCATCTGAACTGTCTGACACTTTTACATAACTTTAATGATTTGAATGTGAAAGGTTAGTGTTTTCACTGTATGTACAAACAGGAAGATAGTATTGTATCTGAAAAGCAGTATTGAATCATCACTTGCTCATAACAGTTATTTTAAACTGGACTGGACAAGTATGATGTCATCAGTGACATCCCAGAATGTTGCTCTGTCCTTGGTTACAGGTGACAACTGCGATACAGGGTGTGTTACAAAAAATGATGGAGGTTGGGTTCAACAGCAAATTCACAAATCAACAATCTGTGATGTCTCTGTAAGTAGCTGACTAAGACCTCATCTATACTATTGGATTTCTAATACTACTATCAATGTCACTAGTTAGCCCTAGTGACGTTACAGATGACATCGCAGTTTATGTGGTAAGGGTCTGAGTTTTGACAACCAGTGACAGTTGGATGTATTGTAATGCTGTTCTCTAGGTTCTTTTATAAGCTGCACAGTGCAGACTTTATTGTTATATAACATATTACACCACATATTGCAATTTAAGGTTTTAATAGTTTAAAATAATGGATAAAAAAATGTAATGCTTACCAAAAATGGATAGATTATAGAATTAGTTAAATGTAGATGAGTAGAAACTTGAAATATGGTTGAAATAAAAAGAAACAGTAGGAACTGTCATGGATTGGCCATTGAAATAGTTAAAAGCGATGAATTAATTGCAATGAGCATTTTACAAATAGTTATGTTAGTGATGGATAAACAGTTTACCACTCCATGTGGTAACAAATGCAAACTTGACCAAAACAACCTAAACAAGGACAGTTCAATCGTATTAATAGTGATAAATAATACGTATCCTATCAAACGAACACATTTGGAAATGTGGTGTGGACGGGGGATGGAGCTCATGGCAAAGGACTGGAATGTACGGGGGATATCAGGCAAAAACATTGGTAACCATTAAATTAAACTTAGAATGTGGATAAAACATTGTGAAAGCAGATATAAGTGTGTTTGACCAGCATGTGCAGTATTTGATAAAGATGACCATGACCAAGAAACAGGCAACCTATACTGTATAGTGAGTAATCTTTTCCCATTTTTAAAAATGTCTTCATTAATAATAATAATCATTAATTTTCTGCAGATTTTCGTTTGGTGAACCCCCATCACTTCAGTTGTCTCTGAGCTGAGAGGAGCAGCGAGAAAAACGGGCAAAGGGAGAAAACAGTGCAACAACTGGGCTCATGCAGAACAGAGCCCTTTAATGTGTTTTTTTTAAAGGTTTGCCAAAGTCGTTCAATAGGAATGTGTTTTGATGCCAATACATCAATGTGTGGAGAAGTACAGGGGACTTTTACTGATTTTCTTCTTCTTCTGCTGCTTCTCTTCATTTTCTTCCTGCACTTTGTCTTCATAGCATCTCTGTGTCATGAAAACAATTCCTGTCCTCAGTGTGTGTGTGTGTGTGTGTGTGTGTGCGTGTGCGTGTGCATGTGTGTGCGTGTGTGTAGGAAATGTTGGCCAGTCTTTGCTTCTTCTCGACTCTGTGTAGAGTTCATTGATAAGAAGATCAGATCTGGGCCCCAAGGCAAGTGTCAGTGAAGAGGTCAGCTACTGTGTGCTTGCTTGTGTATGTGCATGCATGCGTCTTGATGCGTGTGAGTGTATGAGGTGGATTCAGACGACTCAGAGAGAGAGGCAATCCAAGCTCCTCAGTGGGAGCAGTAGCACAGATGGACATCTGAAACAGTTTTGCAGGAAGCCATGCTACAGTCGACCCTCATTTCCTTCTCCCTGTACACACACACAAACACACACACATATGAGACACATGCACAAACTCGACAAATCAAAAAATGATACACACAGACACACCCTCCAGAACATGCACAAAGCAGGCACAGGGGACAAGTGGCTATTGAATATTAACCATGAAATTACAAAGGCTGCATTCTAATGGAGGTGATGAGGTCATAAGCTGGGATGGAAATCATAAATTAATACCCCTGACATGACAAGCCACTCGCCCTTGGCTCCCACGAAACGTGGCTCTCCCCTCCTCCACTGAACTCACACAGACACCAAGAAAAAGAAACACTCCATTTTATTATTAATAGTGGGTCAAAGGAATGCCACAACACAGTAGTCCTAGAATATGCCTGATACTTCTCTGATGTGACTATTGTAGGAAAGGACAAGCATGTCACCTTCGTGTGTGGCTACATCCACAGTGGTGATTGTTGAAGTGTTCCCCCGGGGACCTTTGTTACAATGTCAACAATTTTGCGTCCTTTGTGATTCATTCAAATCCGAGCCTTTCATCGGTGCTGTGGCAACATACAGTATTTTGTAACGATTCTGCCACAGAGAATGGAACACTGTGCTGCTGCAAACCTGATGATCCGCCCTCATTCTTTCTTTCATCCAGAGCGTCATCAGACAATGGCCTTCAGATTTAGAGTAGAGTAGAGTATCTTCTCTATTCAGAAAAACATTATACATAACACACACATAGTCAACATTCTATGTAAAAAGTGACTGAAAAGGCACAAGCAGAAGCATGATGCTTTTAAATGCCTGTCCTACATTACTGTCCATCCAGTTCATCATCCAGATATATTCAAAGAAAATAAACAGATTATTCACGCAAAATATTTATATATATGGAGTTACACATTCTAAAGTTCACAGTTCCACACAGCATAATAGTTAAGGAAGTTTTACTGAACAATAGATTCTATGCAAAGCTTTATGATTTAATGTATCTCTAGATTTACTTATTTGCACTAAAAAAAAAACTTTTTCTTCTTCTCAAAGTTGGAGTATTAGATGACACACAGATCATTCTTTACATTGTTTGTATCATGCACATGTAAGTGTCTTTCAGGTTAGCTCATAACACACAAAATAAGAGATGAAACAGCTTGGTCACAAAAGTTTTTAAATATTACATTAATCTCAGTATTTAGCAAATAAGCATAATAGCAAGCTCTGCTAATGATTCAGTTACAAATGTTATTCCTTCCTAAAAGCAATTTCAAGCATCGGAGATTCAGCAACAAAAAAGCCATCTGCAGAGAGAGATGATAATATAAAGATGGACGACATGACTGCTCCCCAAGAGAGAAGCGTCTCAAATACCGCTAGAGGCTGGCTGCAGTACATATCATAATTGTTTATGTTAGTGCATGGGACATGGTCCAAACTAAATATCGAATAAATGTTTATCAAAGATGGTTTACATCACTTTAGGTGATCAAACTAGTGTTCAAGTGTTTGGGGTTTTTTTCCTTTTTTAAATTTGTTATTAGATGTTATCAAAATGGGGTGAAATGTCATGATTGACAGCTGTGACTGACTTTTGTGATTGGTCGAACATGTGTATTGTGGGATGTCGCTCCCATTCCCCAGTCTCTGGCTCCAAAAGAGCAAGATGGTGTTGCATTTGTAACTGGGATATTTTAGCTTTATGTCTGGATAGTGGAAGGAAGTGCATTGTGCATCTTACAAATTTTATCTATATACAATCTATTGTCTAATCTAAATTGTCATTATCTTCTCTCTCAGAGATGCCATTAGGTCTGCCAGTTTTTGTGGATCATGCGCCCACACATTTATGCTCTTGGAGTTCTTTGAAAGCTGGTTAACTTTTAATTGATATGTGTGTTTTTACATTTTTGTTATTAGGACATCATTTATGCAGCTTCGGTTTGAGGCCGAGACAACAAACCCAGATTTATTAACACTGGTTTCTCAGCTCGTTCACTGTCACATTCACTGTCGATGTTTGGCTCACATGCAAACAGTATGTGTGGGACTCAGCCACAGATATGTTAACAAGAATTTTGGGAGGAAAATGGGCCATAACTTCATTTGCCATAAAATAAATACAAAAGTAGTGTGAGCTGAAGTCTGGAACTCCTACAGGGTATCAACTCTGAAAGAAGCATGTCAAAAGATTATAATGTGGTTTATAAACTTGATCACTTGGTCACATGACATCCTATCACACCCAATTGACCATGATTTTCAGGTCAGAATCAAAACAAATTTCTGAAACACTGACAGACAAAGCAACAGTAAATAACTCTAGATAAGAAAAAACCTTTTCTGGTGTTGTAGTGTGGAAAAAGACACATCTTTTCTTCCTACACGAGAATGAAAGGGGACCAAGCGACAAAGAAAGAGACATATTAGAGTATATTAGAGTGCATTAGAGAGACAGGCATTATCACAAAGGTTACTTTGGCATCATTATATACTACTCTACTTTTTCTAATGGAGAGATTAACTGGTGTCCGGATAATATTTTCAGCTCCACTTGTCTGAAACACTGAGAAAAAAAGCCTGCATTATAATATGATTTAGTGCCAATAAAACACTCATTCACAGGGCAAAGTCCAGAGCAACAAATCTACTTCACTAAAGGGCACATAACCATCTTTTATAAAATGTCACACTGCGTTCATTAGATGCTGATTACATGTTCTCCTCTTTAACACAGCGCTGCAGTGTTTTACAACAAGTTGAACCGAACCAAAAATCGTGGCAGGCAGACAAGCTTGGATCAGCAACAAAAATGTGTATGTACTGTATCGAATTACTGCCGCTGCAGGACTACTGGGGGAACCACAACCCAGTGGACTTCTATGCAATACACACACACACACATTCATGCAAACACATGCACACAAAGAGTTGGCAGGTAGGAGACGTTTGATTCTGCCTTGGTCTCATGGAAGCTGC